TATATTTTTTTAAAAAAATATTAAACAAAATTAATAATTGTTTAGTTTCCTTTTTTAGACAGGTCAGGTCAGGTCAAGTCAAATGTATATTTAATTCAGGTCAATTTTATGTCTGACCTGATCTGACCTTAACAGGTCGGGTCAAGTCAATTACCCAACCCGACCTGACCTATTTAGAGCTCTACTTACTAGCAATACAAGTTTTTATTCTAAGGTTTGTGAAAAGAAAATAGTTTTAGACTGTTTTCCTGTATATCAAAAAAATATTAATATACTAGAACATATTTATTAAGCTTTTTATTTGCAAACTAGATAACAGCTAAGTCTTACTTCTGTGAGGTGAGATTTAGTATATCATAACAAAAGGTGAGACTTAGTGATCTATGAAATCAGATAAGAATTAACTTAAAAATTAATTCTAGGATATCATAAAAACTGATATGTATTTTAGGCTTACATGATCACATTCAGCTCAAATTGCGTTACTTTGTTTCTTAATTTTTGATGTTCCTCTAGAGGTAAGCAGAATAGCATAAAAATTATTATTCATATTAGATTTGCAATGTCAAGTCTAGCTCAAATTACGTTATTTCGTTCCTTAATTTTTTGATGGACCTTTCAAAGGCAAATAAAATAGTAAATTTTTTTTGATAAATTATTTGAAATTAAAATCAGGCTAGAACAGCTATATCAAACAGTGTAATTCTTGATATTTGAAGGGCTAATTCCTAGCCAAGTTCAATACTAGCATCTTTAATAGCTAATTCGCGTAGAAAACTTAAATTCAATAATTGACTCATATAGCTAGAATTGATTTGCAGACAGGTAGGAATTTTTCTATATACTATTTAGAAATTTTATCCCAGAACTCCCATTTTATCTTTACTGTAATGACCTTTCTTTTGACATTTAAAACAAGTGATTTGGAATTTATCAAATCTTATATTTGTATTAGGAGTCCTGAGTTTTAACTGAGTTTAAGCATTTAGAGCTAAAACAATAATAGCATAATTAAGAGTGAATTTTTCTATTTGTTTTATGAATACTTCTATTATATAATCATTAGAACTTTTAGTCTTTCTTTTAACTTGTCTTTTATGTCTTTCAGCTTGTCTTTCAAAGTAAAATGCAGCTTTATAATTAATAGTTTCTTCAATTGCTTCATTAATAGTACTAGATTTCTGTATTATAACTTATTTAACAAGATCTTTTTGAAGTCCTTTCAAAAATAATTTAATAACATATAAATCAGGTAAATTTTCATTTAGATCTATTTTCTTTTTAAATCTTCTAAATTGATTAGCATAGGATTCTACCTTTTCATTATTTCTTTACAAGGTTTCATTTAGTTCATAATACCACTTATTTGTTATTTGATGGTGAAAAAATGATCTAAGAATTAAAATACAAAGGTTTTTAGTTCAGCTTGATTATTATTGAGTTGATTATTATTCTCATCTTCTAGTTCTGCTACTTTTGGATTTCTTCAACTTTAAAAATTAGTATCATTATACTAATCTGCTACTATTTCTTTAAGAAATCTCATAACTATATTTAATGCTCGTTCTGAAGTCTAATTATTTGCTTTAGAAGCTTTTTTAAAATAAATAAGCCAATCATTTGGATTCTTACTAGTTTTTTCAGAAAATCATCAAATAGTGACAAGGTTAATTTCTCTTAAAGGTTGTTACAGTCTATTTACATTTAATCAATCAGATATTGTATTAAAGAATTCTTAAATTGAGTTATAAATGTATTGAATAGATTTTATTGATTTTAATCTATTATTGTTGATTTTAAAAAAAAAAGAGGTATTAATGATTCAAGTCTTGTTGGTATAGGATTTTTAAAATTATTTGAAGGTTGTGTTTCTTCTAATATTCTTATTGCTATAAAATTGAAATCAAATTTAAAGTCAAAAGGGTTTATAAAGTTAAACTATATATTAATTGTTTAGCTTCATTTTTTAATACTTTGATAACGCAGTTGGTCAAATAATAAAACTGATTTCCTGTATAAATCAAAGTACCAAATTCAGCATTAATCCAGTTCCAAAAATATATAAAATATAATGATACTTTTTCTGAAATTGTGTTACAAATTAGACAAGTATAATCTGTTGATAAGTAAATTTATTTTCAACATACTGTTGTAAATAATTTCTTTATAATGTAAGATATAAGTCTAAATTCATTTACTATAAGGTTAGAGAGCTTGGTAGGAATCACCACTTTATTATCTGGAGGGCTGGAAATAAAACTTAGATAATATAATTCAGTCTTTTGAATTAATCACAATAACTTTATCACAATTACGCCTATATGAAGACATAGCAAAAGGTAATAGTAAATGAATAACAAATATCTTTATTGAACTCTTAGTTTATTCACAAAATCCTATCTTAAGTTATCTTTCAATTTTAGGGAAAATACATGCTATTTATATATAAAATAAACTAATAATAATATAATATAATAAATATATCTAATATAATAAATATGACTAATATAATAAATATAATAAATCTATTAAATATAATAAATTTAATAAAGTTAATAAAGTTAACAAATATTATAAATATGATAAATATGGTGTATTGGTCAAATATGACTAATATGTCATATTTGTCAACTAAATTAGATAATCATTGCAGTCACAGATTATGACTTCATTGGTTATAACTAGTGTTAGAAAAGTCCTAAAAATTTTAATTAGTTCAGATTAAGTTTTAAAAATTTATTGGTTTTAAAGATTAATTTTTTTTAATTTTTTAATTAAAATTACTTATTAAAATTTAAAAAATCTTTAAAATATTAGGTTTAGAACCTTAATATAAAAGAATTTTTTATTAAAAAATTTAAGTAATAGTATATAAAAGAATTTTTTATTAAAAATTTAAGTAATAGTATATAAATAAAAATTATCTTTAACTTCATAAAAACAAATTAGGTCTTTTTAGGACTTTACTAACCCTAGCTTTAATCCTCCATATGCAGAATAAATATTTTTTCAGGTGCTGTTATTTGAAGTTATATTTCTTAAATGTGCATTTTCTTAAATAATAATCATGCAATTTATACTTAATTTACCAAAATTATGTAGCTGTCGTATAACGAAGAATCTGATTGGTAGATTTAGTATAATGTATAATGATATTTGATTTGTTAAATGTCATGTGATGCAATGGAGAAGATTATCTTATTTTTGGAAAATAATCTAAGGTCATATCTATTTTTTTTAATTTATAAGTTTTGAAATATCAGTAGCAATGGTTAGAATTTGAAAAATTAGGATTGCGGATTAAGATACTCAATCTCAGAAAATGTAACATATTCAGTTTGAGAAACTTGTCTTAATTTATATTCAATAAACTTATTACAAAGGAAATAATCTTTATTGAATTTTGAGTAAGACCGAATGGCAATTGATGATTTGGCCTATAAACAAGATCAAAATAATTAATAACAATTTATTACAAAAATAAAATCAATCAATTTCTATTGACTCTCAAAATTTATCAATTTTTTTGAGTATTATCTTTCCGTCTTGCAATTTATTTATTTTTTTTTTTTAGAATCACACTTCACCAATCAAATATGCTATGAAGATTTTGTAGCATCCACTTTTGGTAAATAAATAAGAATGTGTGATAATTTCCACTCGATTATAATATATAGAACTAATGATCAAATCTGACATATTTTTTTACTAAATTATCAAAATCATCATTTCCGGATGTCCAATCTGTTAATTTTGTAAAGTTACGATAAAATCTTGTAAAACATTTAAAACATTTGTTGACAATGTTCATAAACCCCTTTTTTTAAAATAAAAATTATAAATGTCACAATTTTCATTAATTATACGTAACTTCTCCAGTTTTCCTTTCATTATAAGAGATTTAACATCATGAATGATTTGTCACTAAAATTCATATCCTATGTGTGTATATTGTGAAACGATCATGTATCTCATCTAAAAAAAATGCATTATTAACTAATATTTACGATAATGCAATGATATAGAAATTTATTTTGAGGCGCAGTAAGATTGAGTGCCGATTCACGTTATTGGTAAAGTACTCCCCTCAGTAGCAAGACACATGTTGACAACAATTATTAATAAAAATAGACGTAATTGGCCACCGTTTCTCATTCAAAACTCGGCATGTAGGTGACTAGAAATTAAACACCATATAGACAAGTAATCTCAAAAAAAAATTATTTGGCCTCCAAGACGCACTATTCATTAACGTGGAAACTCGATGATTCGGTTTTTGTGATCGCCGAGCCATTCTTTTTTTTTGCTTCTAGATCGAAGATTTGCACTCTTTTTAATTCGTCTTTCAACATATTTATCACAATAGCGTTATCTATGAATATGTAAGATATCCATCGTTCACCATAATCTTTAAACGTTCCACATGACATATGAAACTTGCAATTTAAATAATTTAAATGCATGAAAAGAGTTTGTAAAATCTTTTTACTGTATATTACAGACAAAATTTAATTATTACACGCGATAAATAAAAGGATTTATAAATTTTATAATATTATGAAAACCGAGGATCAAGCTTGTCCGACCTAAACTTTTCAAAAACTTAAAGGATATAAAATTCGGGTATGACCGCAGTAAATCACCTGAATCGTGGCAAAGAAATTATTCTAACAAAGCTTTTTTATTCGTGTATAATAACGATTCACTGTATATGTCCATCTTGTTAATTACTATTTATCAGTCAAATTTATTAATAAAACATCCAAGTATTTAATGGAATATTCATCCTACTTACACACGCAACAGCAAACTTTGATATGAACGACTTTATCATAATTTTTTTTTTTTACCAGACAGACCAAATTAATAAATTTACAAGTTCAATATTTTTTAGATATTGGTTGACCAGCAGCCTCAATAGTCTTCTGTTTCATCCGCGATGAATAATGCCGCCTGTCAAAATTAGCAATTTAATTCGATAAATCTCAATTTTGAATAAAATTCGAGTCACAAATTATAAAAAATAATTAATACGATCAAAAATAATGTGACTCGTGCAATAGACAACGTCAATGTGCATAGAGTTTATAAAAGAAGAGCGATAATAAGTTAATGAGATATGTGTGCACAATACTTTATATAGCCATGAAAGTAAATAATTAAAAATTAAATGTTAAACTTTTTTAATCGCTCTTTTTTAAGAACTACTGTGTATTGATATTGAATTTCTAAATTATTTTTTTTTAAAAATTCCTTGTAGGGTTGTTTAATATGTCGGTTTTATTTTGTTTATAAATTTGTAACGAATGAACGAATTTCAAATAATAATAATAATAATAATAATAATATTGTGTTCACGAAAATATTAACAACATAACCTTATTAGACAAAACAAAGCTTGCTCTTCCAATACGATTCCCGGCTCTACCAGCTGCATCAATTGCAGTTCTCTGTGCGGATCACCATGCTAAACCAATACCTGATGCAGTGCAGATTTATGACAAAAAGCTAACTATGATCGATCGATTACGATTAAAACATCCATTCAGAGATTTTGTCAAAGCATTAATGAAATCTTGTATTATTTTTTAAATAATTTGATAAACTTTTGAGATAAAATTGTAAAAAGCGATATTAGAAATTTATAACATATTTCTTTTTAATATATTACTTATCGATGGGAGCTTTTTTTTTTAAAAAAAAATGACTAACGAAATGCGTATTTGTAAAATCTTTCAAGCTTCCGAAATGTTTATGATAATTTGTGTAACTTTTGTTATGAAAGCTACGGGGTTTGAAATTTTGAAATATGCTATGCAGTGTTATGCCGTAAAGGTTGTCCCGAGGAAAAAAATTTTTCTGAAAATCCAAATAATAAAACGTATTTTGTGATACGGTAGATAACCATATCTAATCTTGCCGATGATTTATCTTTATGCACAGGTAAAAAAGTAAGTAATTCCTCTTGTTCACTCACAGGTACCCATGTGACACATCATCAAAAATAATTTTAGATGACATTTCCTTCTTCTCGTGGATATACTTTGTATGTAAATATGTATCTAATTGTTAGTTCAGATTTTGTTGTTTTATTGATAGACAACAACCATGATTCGTTCGTTATTTTCCAATAACCAATTATAAATTCTTAATTCTTGGAAATAAAAACTTTTGACGTATTCAGAAATTACACGTGGCTGTAATTTTAATGGCGTAACAAATCAATAAATATAAATATCTTTTTTAACAAATAAATTTTTTTTTTTAACAACTTTTTGTTTCATCTCGTATTTCAAACAAAAATTTTTTTATTTTGTAAATAAATATATAAAAATTACTTGGTAAAAAATAAGTTTATACACATTCATTTGCCACAACATGCTGATCAAATTGGGTGGTACCAGCCACACTGAGCCGATCCGTATGTATGTGGCTGTACTTTAAATTTTTTAATTAATTCTAAATTATACCTAATTAAAGCAGTATGACCCTTTGGGGTAAAAAAAAAATTGTTTCCTTAAAAATCTTTAATTGTTTAATTAATTGCGTAAAAATAAAGAAATCTGGGGAAAGTTTATTAAATGATAGTCACTTTGTTTTTTTTTCCGAATAAAATGATAATTTTTGCTAAAATAAAAAAGAATTTTAATGATAAACATGTGCCAAGAGGGCTCATCCATTATACAATGATTCATTTTAATTTTAAGTTCTTTGAATTAAAAGACATTATTGGCATATGTGTGAAAATATTCGCGTCTGAAAACTGGTGAGGAACTGATTGACATGAAAAACTTGTGATTCGATGATGTAATGATGTAACATGCAATCCTAATACTAATTAACTTAATTTAGAATCCCGATATACCCATACATCATTGGCTTGAAGTCCCGGCGTTCAAACATCCATTTATCAATATAACGTAATTAAATTATATAAGTCAATTATTAATGATATCATAACTAATATTTTTATTTTATTTTATTTTTTTTTTTTGTTGAAATTGAAAATGCATTCAAAATCATCCTTTTTGCACGTTAAGCGTCCTAACATAACCCATAAATAAAATAATTTAGCCCACGGTAAACCTTTATGGGTACTTTTTCCGTGATGAGACCCACGATTATCTTTAAGAGAACTCTATGCACTCATGTAAATAATACTGTCAATCGAGTCGTGCCCTTACAATTTTTGATGAGATGCGAACCTGGTGATTGGTGAAGATATTATTGATTCGAAAGGATGCTAACCACCTTTTTCTATTCGTAATAACTCCATGGTGATCAAAGTTGACCAATCAATTTTAACGGCAACTTTATTATTATGTTTATTTTATTTTAAACAAAGAAGGGGGAAGAAACTGAACGATTTAAACATCGTTTATCAAAATCAAAATAAATAATATTATTTTTAATTCTTTTGAATTTATAATTAACAATATCATAATATGATTTCTTTACGTAATTTGAAATTCAACCTCAAGATAACAATAGTCGGCGTATCAATAAATATTGATCAGGCTTCATTATTTTGAACAATGTTATAAGGCTTATATCTTTAGCGTTCCTTATTTAATAAATTTAATAATACTAAGGATTCTTCTGATACTTGGATAATTATAAATTTAACAATAAATTAATTTACAACCTTTTGAATGGTCATTATCCCTAATGATTTTACCTCAATTTACTATTTTTATTTGTATATTTATTGATCAAAATTATCAAAATTAGCAAAAGATTGTCACACAATATTATTGAAATCATTAAAATGTATAAGATTAGCTTCATTATGGCATGAGTTCACGACTTTAAATAATAATAAATAATTTTTTTTTTTGTTATGATTTATATTCATTACGTGCACACAATTATTATTATTTCTTAATGAATTTTGAGCGAGGCTCATTTGTTAAAAAATAAAATAATTAAATTATTAAATTTCTTACGTTGCATATCCCTTCCGTATTAACTAACGTATCATCTGATTTTCTGATTTTCTATTGTTTACTTGAGAGTATTTTATTATATGTTTCACAACGACGTTTTTAATTTCAAAATCCGAATACAATATGATCGTAACGTTTTTATTGTTGAATATATACTTGTTCGCTATTTTTATTCGTGGTAGACATTAATATTATATATTATTCGAATTTAAAATTGTTAAAAAAACGTGATTTTTTTTGAAGAAACAGGTTTGATTGGTAAAAAATTTCGTAATGAACGATAATCACCCTCTGCAATTTCGCTATGACGACGGTATCACAAGCTGTTCGATGAGCTCATTGTTTATGTTTGTCATCTTACAGAGTTGAATGATTTAGGCCGAATTAATATAATTTTTTCTTGGAAGATATGGTTCTTTCAGGTTTAGAAAAAAAAAAGCAGGTTTATTTGTCCGTATACGCCGGATTTCGAATCGTTCAAAATATAATCATATTATTATTATTATTTTTTTTTTTTATACATGGTTTATGAATATTTTTTTTTTGATACTCTGAATTCTTTTATCGATATCCGGATTTACTTGTCAAACTCCGAACACCACTTCCAAATACAAGTTCATTCATACAAACGTTAAATCATTTATAATGACAATTTTCATTTTTCAAGCACGTGTTACCTCTTGATTCTTGTGTTTCAATAGAACCGATAAAGGTTGGTCAATTAATTCTAAAGGGTCTTGGCCAATTTTCATATCCAATCTTCATGGTATCGCAACAAAAATGGTTTCTTCGATTAGACGAACCCAATGAGCCTTTGATCTTAAAATTAAAATTATTGATGATTGAAACACCCCCCAAAAGATGGACAAAATCATTAACGAATTAGAAGGAAGCACCCATGTCCGAAATTTTTCCTGGGGTCCTAGCATTCGCAAATCCTCCACCTTTAGTTCTTTTTTTTTTTAATTAAAAAAAAAAAAAACAAAGAAATAAAAACATTAAATGCCAACTGATTCAATCAATACATGCATGTGCATCCTCATTTTTTTCATCATACTAATTTCTTTTATACGAAAAGCCTTTTCTTTATTTTATTACATCATGATCCTTGTTTTTTAATCTATACAAAAAAAGTTTTTCATTGAACAAAGGGTTTCGATTATTATTAAAGTTCTTTTTTTAAAATTTTTGACGCTCAATTAATGGTGTGTTATTTATAATAAATCCTCGTAATTTTGGAAACAATAACCAAAAATCAACGTTCGCTTCATTACCTTTTTTAGCAAACAAGTTTGAGGAATTCCCACATTTTTTAATTTTACTAATTTGCTACGCTTAATAAGCCTAACCCCCAAAAACCATCATAGTCATAATGATATGTAAAAAACATTGGAGAATCCGAAAACGAATGAATGAACTATAAAAAAAAAATACCATTTTTTTTATTTATTTTTTATAAAGATAAAATAATGTAATATTATTCACTTTGAGGTCTATTATTCTCAGAATTTTACGTCGAAATCATTACACATGACACCAAGATGTGCATCAATGCATCTTTAAATAACAACAAATTTGAACGGGTAAATGTTCGTTAATCGCTTTTTTGGAGGGAATGATTATATCTAGGAAACACATTTATTTCTTTGAATGAAAAAAAAACCTTTGAATAAATGAGATAATTTCAATCTAGTATGTCATGATTTCCTTTTACAATATTATTATTATTTTTATTGTGTGTGTTGAAAGAACTTCATTATATCCTTTTGAGAAAAAAATGCAATCTCATTAAAATTGGATGCATGTAATTATATTTTTTCGAGACAAGCTACTCGAACTAGTGCGGCCCGTCTTTATTGTCAAAATATGGCTTATCTCATTTATTTTTTTCAATCAATGTTATACTACATGAAAACCTTGTTTGATGGTCAGATTATCGATTGTGAATAATGATGTTATACATAGATAGTACTAACACAAAATGTTCAATGCGAGTTTGTTTAGGATTCATCAAAAAAGTAAGCATACAAGAATTAGATATGAAACCAACAAAGCGGTCCATAATAACGCTTTGTAACTTTTTCTAAAATCGAATGTTTTTTTTTTATTTTCTTCTTTTTCGCGAGATGTTTAAACGTTTTAAATTATTATTTTTTTTTTTTATGTCCGACAATGGAAATTTTTGTCATGAATAAAAACCAATCGCAGGTCGACTCATAATCCTTTGACAATCTAGATCTCAAAAAAAAAAAAAAAAAAAAAGGTTCAATGACCTACCATAAAATGAATTTTATTTTTATTCAACGCAAACACTTGTTTTTTTGATTAAAATAAAAAAAGAGATTATTTTTCATAAATGGTAATACGAAAATGGCTACAAAAAAAAACCCATGTATTTTTGACAAAAAAGAAAGATGAATAACAATCTATTGTCCATAAGAAATGACGTAAATTTACTGCCCGAATGATTTTCAAATCAAGTATTGTCCGAGTATTCCCGTCAATTTCCACTATTGAAATTAGCGTAACTTCAGCCGAGGGTTGAAGGCTTCCCATTATCCATCCAGTATAAGCCACTTATTATATATATCTGGTTTTTTTTATTTATTTTCTGTTGAACTAATCTAGAAGATTTACAAAGAAGGATTATAACATCGTCATATGTGCTTACTGCGGATTCATAACCTTAATTTAACAATTGATCTGTTGACTACAATCCCATTTCGATAGATATCTGTAATAAAAAGGGATTTTCCCTCACTCTTTTTTATTCTATACATATATTTATTTTTTTGTCATCAATAAATAATGAGATATTTATATTGGTGTTTTCCTCTTAATAAGGATTTACATGTCACATCTCTAAATATTCACCATGTTTTCATGCAAGAAATTATGCATCATTTTCAAGTATACCTAAACCTACTTGTAACGAAAGATATAAATTTTTTTATGCGGGTTATCTATTTGATTTTTCAAACAGATCAACCACACGATACATGAAATTTTTTTATTTTATTTAAAAAAAATATTCGTTGTTGAAAAATGTTTTTGCATGACGGAAAACAAAGGAATGCACCGAATACTGATTAGCCCGAAAAAATCCAGTGCCTAACAATTGCGCTTATTTTATTGTTATCAGATACTACTTATCTTCTCATGTGCCTTTTTGCTTTTTTTTTTTTTCATTTATTTTGATTAACCTTTCCATTTAATTATTTATTCTATCATTATTTTAAAATTAAAACAAATTATACCTTTATCTATTTTTTTTTTTCTCCTTGAAGAGCAACGTAAATCATTAACCCATTTTTGAAACGGTTATTCTCGTTTAGAATCTTGTATGTTTGTACAATGGTACAAGATACAGAATAAGTTTACCTCAATGCATTATGTATTACGACTTCACCACATATTTAGTTACATTACGTTACATATAATATAAGATGCGATATGACATAATTCCCCTGTACGATCATTACCACATTTGAATCCTTTTATACTGATTATAAAAATTTTACTGTAAAACATAAAAAATAAAAAAGTATGTACAACTTTTTATGATCTAACCTGAAATTTCTTGAATTTCCTCATTACAAAAATATTAGTATTTTGGTATGACGGTTTACATATAACATATCACTACATAGTAACCTTATATAAAAAAAATCAAATATAAAGGGGTTTGGTTTGTGCAAAAATTTTTTTTTTCTTTTTTTAAAAAAAAACTCAATAAGAACCAAAACACCAAAACACAACAAGTTTTAAAAAAAAAAGCGAAGGAAAAAAAAATCATTTTTCTTCATAAACACATACCATCTTTAATATTTCAAAAATGTTTGCATATTCACCCGTTGAAACAGAAAATATTTTTTACAATCCAAAATATTCCTTTAACAACAAAGGTGTTCCTTCCTTAAACACAAATCAACCTTCTTCCTCTTCTTCATGTAGCGCCAATCATCATATGTTATCCTTAATACCCGATTTACAAGAAAGAGAGCAACAAAGAAAAAGTTTGGAAAAATTTCATGAAGCTTCCATCAGACGTATTCAATTAAAGCAAGAATTACAACGTCGTCACCAACTTTGTGCGGAAACTGAACGTTTACGCAGAGAGCAGACGGAGAAACAAAATGCCTTAAAGAAGGTTGAGAAATGTAACGCTTTAAGGAAATATTATGAACAGAAAGCTCAACTATACAATATATCTTCATCAAACATGAGCGACCATTCCCTAAGTTTCTCCTCCTCATCCTCCTCATCCTCCTCTTCTTCCTCAGCCTCATCATGTTACTCACACTTCACAACTTCAACAAGGAATTCTTCAAAGTATTCTACAAAGTCAACGAGTTCCTCAATCAAGCAATTTCAAGCGGCATTTAAAATTTATTCATTCATCAAGCATAACATAGAAAAAAGAAAAACGCAAAAAATCTTGGCATCTCTCATCAAGCTTCGTTCCGTTCAGAATCGTCTGTCGGTATTAAAGTCAATCAACCTAAAATTAGGCACACTTACATTTGATTTAATTAATAAAAACAAAGTGTTGCCAACTTCTGCAAATAATAAAGCATTTTTAATTTATAAAGAATCCATATTAAAAGTTCTTGATCAATTAGATAATGAATTCACTGATGAATTCTATCTAATCCGAGAACGTAAGCAATTTATTAACAACGTTGCAAAAAACATGCTACAAGAGTTAGATCGTGAACGTGATTCACAGTACGAGACTTTTGTTGGAAAAAAGGAAATCGTCGATGACGACTTTGTAATTATAAATAGAAATTAAATATATATATATTTTTTTTTTCCTTCTTTTTACATATTTTACTTGTAGTTTATTTCTTAATTTTTCGCACAATTTGTTATTTTTTTTTTTTTGCGTAAAATTATCATATGTATATTTTCTCTTACCCTTTCACCTTTTTAATTTTCGCAAAAAATAATTTCATAGACATTTTCATCATAATTTTGCAGATGAAAAATGAAAATAAAAGTATCAAAAATAAAATTTTATACATTAAAAACATAAACAAATTGTCCAAAGCGAACGCGCGCATGTGGCGCAAATATATTTTTTATTTATTTATGTTCTGTTTGCTGTTCTGTCTTAATGTTGTAACATTTTGTAAAATGCAGAACGGAATATCTGGCAACTTCACATGAAAGGTTTCGGATTGCTAGAAGGAAGGGAACCAATCGAAAGTCAATTTTACATATTTTTTAACCTTAAAAAAAAAAACAAATGATGATAAGAGTAAGAATTCCCGCTATCTCCCAAAGATGGATCATTATATTTACAATGATAACGCATTAACAAACATGGGGGCATATTGGCCACAAATGAAAGCGCATGGTCATGGGTCATTTATTCTCATGTGGTGTAATGTCTGGTAAGGTACACGCGCTAATCCATTTTTTGGTTCATTTTATAATTCAAAAATCACATCCATTAATAAAAAAAATCAAAAATCCTTTCCATTACGGCATTCCTGTTGTGTAAAAAACCCGAGTTTCAAACTTTAATCTTCGCATCATTGTTTAACACACGAACTTTTCAAAAAAGCGAAAGGACACAGTTACGGTAACGTGTAAATTAGTAAGTGAGAAATTCAAGAAATTGACAGGATTTTTTTTTGTTAATGGGAAAAACGAATTCAAATATCGTATTCCTATCGTCAAATTATTCCCACCAAACCAATTGTACCAAAACAAGTTTAAGAATCATTATTTTTGGCTCTTTGGCTTAAATCATGTGACGCTCCAGATGGGTCTGGAATTATTGTAGCCCAATTATTATTTTGGCGTTTTTTAATTTTATAACCAAAAAGACTTGGGTTTTGATTTGATTTGAGATCTTAGCCACCCAAAGATACTATTTTTAATTGAATCTTTTATGTCATGATCATGTGACACTTAATAAAATTATCGAATGTTTTGTTTTGCGCCTTATTGCGACATTCAAAATCACTAACAACTTTCATGAGACACTTAAACTAATCAGTGAAAGACCAAAATATTATGACGATCATCCCGATCGGACTTGAGTGTATTTTTTCCTAAAAGTAATAAAGATCACATGTATTTTTGTTTTTTTTGATTTTTTCGGGAATTAATAGAATGGGTTTTTTCAAAAAAAAAATTTTTTTTTATTTTTATTTTTATCATTTTACTTTAGATAGGATAGGGTATAGTCTCTTTTAATTATAATTGGAATCTCGCAATTGTGTTTAAAATTATTTTTGATTCATATGCGCGAATGAATCAATATTACATTACGCTACCAAACAATTATGGGATATGAAAAAAAGAATTCAAAAAGGCGTATCTCAAAGCCAACGAAAGATCATTATTTTAACATCTACCTTTTTTTTTTTTTATAATGAAATCCTAAAAAGAAATGAAAAGAAAGAAAAGGGAAGCAATAAAATTCATGTGCATGCAGCATGGAGAAATGCTCCGTTTTTTAATTAATTAATTAACTATTAACCTTAATTAGACATTTAATTTTATTCAGATTTCCCCATAATCACCTTTAATAATGGAAAATGGAAAAAAGGATATTTTATTTTTTAAAGGTTGCTTTGATAAACGTGGGGATGGGGGTTTGCTTATCTTAACTTAATCTTATTTCTATTATCATTATTATTTTTTAATGATATTTTTATGGTAATTTACTTGTAAATGCTAATTACATCGGAATATCTTTCTGTAAAATTTCGGGAATTTGTTTAGATGGTGCCACTGAAATATGCGGAGTCTCTTATTTTTTTTTTGGTTATCCAATTATGCTCCCATTGCAGTTGATGTGTAATAGCCATTTCTCGTTTTGTCTTATAGTCAATAATTTGTCTGTGTTTTTCACATTAAAATTTGTTACATGGTAAGTTTTACTAAGGATAAAATATAATCTCTTACTAATTTATTATGATTAGGGGGTTAGCTAAAAGGGGTAAACTTTACTTTTCACCCAATCAAATAAATTAATTATTTTTTTTTTTTGTTTATGGAATTGGATTATTGTTATTATTATTAAATTTATTAAATTATTAATATTATTAATTTATTTACCATAAAAAAAAAACGTAAAAAAAAAACATTTTCGATGTGTTGCACTGTATATGCATAAAAGCACCAACCGCCACACAAATCAATGAATGATCAAACGAATTAATTTAAAATAAATACATTTTAAGGTTGATCTACTAGTAGAAAAATCTAGGTGTTTTATCGTTATGGGTTGTCAATAAGATCGTTAATGTAACTACATGTAGATGAGATAGTTTTTTTCGATTAACATTTGACAAATCTAAAAGGGTAGTAAATAACATTCGGCAAGTTCGCAATAAAATTCGGCAAGTCGCGATAACATGTTATGTTGCGAGATTTTTTTCATCTTTCAATCAAAATTTTTTTTTTTTTGACACGGGAAAGACCATTTTGGCGTGCGCAACTAATTTAGCGAGGTATCACAAACTACTTGTAAAGCATAGTCGGGAAGTATGATGTCATAATTAGGCATATAATTTTTAACACTAATTTAAGTCAGTACTAGTTTTACCTAATCGATTAATAATTCGAATCTTTTTTAATTTTAAAATACACTATCTAATTAATCTGACAGATTAAAAAAAATTAAATCTACGATTAACTAACTAATCCATTTGTTAAAAAAGTAAAAAAAACTCGACAGCATAATTGTATTATAGTATGTAATCCCACATGTATGTTAGGTTAGTGTGAACTCAATTGTAAAATAGTTTTTGATTGTCTTTAATGTGAAGACGGGATAACCACAAAGAAATCTAACTTGTACAAGGAAAATAAAAAAGTCATTTGATCCTCTTAATACATCAATTACACTTTATTTACAAGTTGTGCTGTTGGGGCTCTTTCACTTGGATTATTCATTACTTCAGATGAACTCGAAATTACATTAGAAAAAGCGGTAATTATCAAAAAAAAATTATATTAAATTACAGTCTTTTGTTTTATAAGTTTATTAGAATTTTTATGCTATATGCTAATTTTTTTAAATTTAAATATTTTAATTTTCAATATAGTTAAATTTACTGAAAACGATACTTCCACCATATGCTTTTTATGGACGCGGACCGCAAGTTGGACTAACAATTCTCCTTACTGATGATTCAAGTGCAGAACGTAATGCTTTAGAACTTTGTTGGCCACAGGGAATTCGTCTTTTATGCATGGTTCATATTTTACAAGCTTTTTGGAGGTGGCTTCATAATATAAACCATCACATTAATAAAAATGATCGAGGGTCTATTATGAAACAAATGAGAAAAATTCTATATGCATCATCATATTTAGAAATGAATACATA